ATTGCATTTGCTACTTGACTTAAAATTTCTTCTGTTGAAAGAGATCCTTTTGGAACATTACTATCCTGAATATCACCTGAAAATTATGTCAGTCCCTTGGTTGCCCTACAGATTATGTACTTAGATTTAACTTACATTTAATCAACTTACATTTAAGATGCTCCTGTCCACTGCACATGCCAGCTTGACTCCAAGATGGTTTAAGAAAATTGTGCTCAGACCAAGACGTTTTTTACAGAAGTTTTAAGGTATTCGATCTGGTCTACACGTAACTACAGCCTTCCATTGAACAATTATCCACCTACTATAGTTCCCACCTTTCTGTTTCAGGAAAACAATTGTTTTTCTTCTTGTGGGCAGGTCTTCCTGGACAGATACGCTTTTATACAGTAAGTGTGTGAGTGTGTATACATAATCTGTACACAAAAAGTTGTTAAATTACAAACAAATAGCTTTATAAACAAAAGTTGTTAAATATAGACCCACAAGGTTATCAAAATACAGATATATCCAGGCACAAGTGCCTTTTAAAAATCCAGCAAGCACTCAAATGTTTCCAATCCCTTTACCAGAACTGCTGAAATAGCAAGGTGGTTAAGATTTTTGCTTTAGAGAGGGAGGGAGGGAGGGAGGGAGGGAGGGAGGGAGGGAGGGAGGAAGGAAAGAAGGAAGGCTTCCAGATTTTAGTTAAAAAAATAAATCTAGAGTTTTTACTATTTTATCAGTCACACGAGATATAAGAATTTCATTTCCAGCTTCAAAATAGTCTAAGCAAACTTATGTCCAAACTATTTTATACTCTGCATGACTAATCAAATACTTAATATTAATTACAAATACAGTGTAACTGCTAATATGAGCAGCTTTCCATTCTATAAGTCACCTTGTGTTACTTTGAAAAATTAGTTATTAGATACTATTAGATATTAGACAGCGTCCTGGGGAGACTGAGTGCAGCCACATGTTTGCTGGATCCGTGCCCCTCCTGGCTGGTGCTGGCGGCCCGGGAGGGTACACGAGCCTGGCTTCAGGGAATTATCAACGCTTCTTTGGGGGAGGGTGCCTTTCCCACGGCCCTTAAAGAGGCGGTGGTGAGGCCCCTTCTTAAGAAGCCTTCCTTGAACCCAG